TTTTTTTTTTTTTTTAAAGTTTAACGTTTTTTTAAGTAATCACTACACCCAACATGGGGCTCGAACTCACCCCCAAGATCAAGAGTCACATGCATCACTGACTGAGCCACCTAGGTGCCTCTTGAACTTTTTATTCAGGAAAAAATTAATTACATAAGCAGCTTGAAATGGCATATAAACTCCATGTGCCCATCACCCTCCATCAACAATTATCAATTATAGCCCATAACCCACTCCTCCATTCACTGGGAAGCGAATCTAAGATATAATTATTTTAGTATATCATCAAAGGACTTCATTTTTCTTAAAAATACCATTATGACAGGAGAGCCTGGGTGGCTCAGTCAGTTAATTATCCAACTCGATTTCGGTTCAGGTCATGATCTCACAGTTGTGAGATCAAGCCTTTATCAGGCTCCGTGCTGGGCGTGCAGCCTGCTTGGGATTTTCTGTATCTCCCTCTCTCTCTCTCTCAAAATAAACAAACATTTAAAAAATATCATTACGACAGCTAAAACAAATTAATAGTCATTCCTTGCTATCACAAGTATCTAGTGGGTGTTCAAATCTCCAACTTTCTCATGCTAAAATCTTATTTAACTCGTTTGTTTGAATCAGGATCCAATTAAGGCCCATATATTATGGTGGTTTTTATCTGCCTCTTAAGCATCTTCCAAGTATGCAGCTGGTTTTGTGACTTCTGAACCACATGTACTCACAGACTTGAGTACGTTGGTGTTATTTCAATCCATTGCAGTCATTACCTCAATGACTCTCAAATCGTCCTATCTTTGGACAACGGAGTGACCTATGGGAGGGGGGCCCTGAGCTCCAACGTTCGCCAGGAGCACCTCCAGATTCATCTTTCCCCCAGGGACTCTTAAGTTCCTTTTAGAGGAAATGACACCTTTGGAGACCGTAATATGGGCACCAGAGCATTTACGCAGAAGTAACAACTTTTATGACCTTTCTAAACTTCTGATGGGATTTCTGGGTGCAGTAAACATCAACTCTGGTATCACCAATGATCCAAATCATTCAGTCTTTATATGTATTTGTCACTTTTTTATAAAGCAATAGGGACAATCTTCAGGTGTAGATCGTGAACATCTCAATATTGTCCAGACACATTTGGTGGTGCACATTAAAAACACAATCTGGGGTGCCTGGGTGGCTCAGACAGTTAAGCGTATGACTCAGGTCACGATTTCACTGTTGTGAGATCGAGCCCTGCAAAAGTTAGGTTTTTGCATCCAACTTCGCACTGGGTATACAGTCTAAGATTCTCTCTCTCCTTCTCCCTCTCTTTTCCTCCCCCCCTCACTTCCTGTGCTCTCCCTCTCAAAAAATAAAATAAAGTAAAATAAATAAAATAAAATAAAATAAAATAAAATAAAATAAAATAAAATAAAATAAATAAAATAAAATAAAATCCATTTGCTTGGTTTACTTTATGAAAACAGTCCTACATAGATCTGTACTTGAGTTATGACCTTATGACCATAAACACTGACTACTCCGTACTCTATCTTTAGACTTTTTTTTTTTTTTTTTTTTTTTTTGAAGATTTTAAGTAATCTCTACATTCAACATGAGGCTCGAACTCACAACCGCGACATCAAGAGTCACCTGCTCTACCAGCTGAGCCAGCGGGGCCGCCCTCTTTAGAACTACTTTGTAACTACACCCATTTCAAACCTCATATGTTTTGATCACTAGTGAAACAGGGAAGCTTGAAGCTCCTCTGCTATGAAACTAAAAGATCTAAGTGCGTGAAAGAGATTAAGGGGATTAAGAGATACAATTTTCCAGTCATAAAATAAGTCAGTCACAGAGATTTAAAAAAGTACAGCATAGGGAATCTATCAAGAATTTTAAAAAACACCACGTCAAGAAAATTTTTTAAATATTAGAGCATTAATGTATCAACATCAATCTAAGTTAAGTATTGAAGAGATTAACTGACAGCGTGACTAGAGAACTAAGTTTAGCTGCGTTTGTTAAAAAGCTTCACGTTAAGTCACAGCTCGTAACGTATAACAGAAACTATAATTAATAAATAACGCCAAAACTTTATAGACTAATACTGTGAGGGAGAATCAGGTGAATGGAAGTAAGAGGTACGAGCTTCCAGTTAAATAAAGAAGTCACAGAGGTGAAAAGCGGAGCACAGGGAACAGAAATGTCGCGCGGTGACGGCTGGTGATCGCCCTTATCGTGGCGAGCACTGGCGCTTGTTCGGAACTGTTGCACCTGAAACTAACATAACTGTAGGTTAGCTGTAGTTCAGCAATGAAAGAAAAAAAAGTCAGGAAGTAATTTATCAAAACAACCACGTGCCTTTACAACAGAAGATGCTAGAAGCTACAAGTGGCGGTTTCGGTGCGAGACTTGGCACCATTTTCTAGTTCTCGACACAAAACAACGCAGTCTTAGTTATCTTCTTTATACTTTTGGAAAACAAGAAAACTAAAGATTCTCACTGACTGCTCAGCCTTAAATCGACATGCATAATAATGCATCGACTGGTACAAAGGACCATTTCTAATTACCATTAAGTTGTGTTTTCAAAGATCAAATTGCACAAATTTCAATTACTTTTAGTTGACTCCCTAATTTTTCAACAAATGAAGTAGGGTTTCTTTCTTTCTTTTTAACGTTTATTTATTTTTGGGACAGAGAGAGACAGAGCATGAACGGGGGAGGGGCAGAGAGAGAGGGAGACACAGAATCGGAAACAGGCTCCAGGCTCCGAGCCATCAGCCCTGACGCGGGGCTCGAACTCACGGACCACGAGATCGTGACCTGGCTGAAGTCGGACGCTTAACCGACTGCGCCACCCAGGCGCCCCACTTTCTTTCTTTTTAAACCAAACAGTAAGGTTGGGGGGTGTAAGAACTTAATGTTTACAGTTTTTGTACTGAGGATTCAACTAGCTAGATTTAGCCTAGATTAACCCATCACCTCCAAAAAACAAAAGGAAACTTATTTATGTTTTCATCAGTGACTACTGCATTCCAGAATCACCTATAGCTCCTCCTACCACTAAAACCTCTGAAGTCCACACCCTGAAGGGTTTGACCTGTGAGAACACTGGGAACCAGATTTTTAAATGTGTCTTTCACACCCCGCTTCATTTGTCATAAAAGCTTTAGAAACCATGGGTGTTTCATAGTCTTTCTCCGAAACAGAGTCACTGATGTGTCTGCACGAGAATTTCAGACCCAGGTCATTATATGTCACGTGACAGGCACGTTCAGAAGGGTGTCGGGGCATAAAAGCTCTCACACCCGGTCAGGAAGAAAATCGAAACCAACGAAGTATCTTTAACTCTCCTCCACTGAACCGACATGAAGACAAAGTGTGCTTTTTCCTGAGACAGGCTTCCCGCTGCCAGAGCTCACGGACTCGCGGCACCGCCGCTCCTACCAGCTCAGGACGCGGGAGGACCGGCTGTGGGAGGACCCGGAGAGGTTTCCGACGGCCTGCGTCCGTTTGCTTCATTTTCAAGCAGCAGGCAAGTGTAAAGCCTGCTTTACATATCCAGTGGGCACATCCAGGTGTTCGGGGCGGGTGGAGCCCAGGACAAATCGGGCACACACCCCTCAGCGGTGCACACCCCCGGTAGGGCACGGCGCCCGGTCCGTCCCATGTGGGGGTCCAGAGCCCGTGCGCAAGCCGCACAGAGTACCCCACCGCGCGCACTCGCACGGTAACGCCAACCCACAGCCCTGAGCCTGGCTGCTACTTACCATTTTGAATCATGTAGTGCAAAATCTGTTCAATTATGGACACCACGTAGCTGGCGTCTCGTAAAACAGGCAAGTAAGTATTCTCAGACGAAAACACCTCGAGCATTCTCATTGGAAGTGCAACATTCAAACTGTCGTCATTACAGTTCTGCAATAACCTGTAAAAAAGAAAAAAGTCCTCACGCGTGTACTGGATGGCGAACGTCACCCTGAGCCCCCTTCAATTATTCTCGCTCATTACAGTAAGGCCCGAACCACTCTGCTCTGCTAGCGCGTGTCTCGGAACAGAGGCAGGACTCAAAGGTAGACAGGAAAATAATCACACGTTCTGTCACTCACATTTTTTTGCAGTGCTTATTAAGGGCCAATCAGCATGGCGGCATTGGGTTCACGGAGAGGAAAAATGCACAATCACAAAGGGAGAAACAGACGAAAAAAATCAACGATGCTTATCGCAAGCATCGTGTAGGATTCTTACAATGCCTGGATCTCTCCCAGTGCCTATCATCTTCAAAGACGCCTTCAAGACATGGCACACCTGTAGCAAGGAGCTGACTAGATGGGATTTACCTGCAGCAGAGGCTCATCAATCTCTTTATTTGAAATAAGCATGTAAGTCTCTCAGATCCATCCAACTGCTGGACAAACAGAGAGCTGTGTTTAATTAAGTTCTGATACATCCATATCTGAAACAGCAAAACATACGTATAGGTCACTCTCAATCCATAAAAGCTCACTGTTTACTGCATTGCATAACACTCCAAATTTCCTGAATTGCTAAGGAGATACTTAATCAAACATGATAAAAAGTAAATCTTCTAGGGGCGCCTGGGCAGCTCAGTCGGTTGAGCACCCGACTTCGGCTCAGGTCGCGACCTCAAGGTTCGTGAGTGCGAGTCGCACGTCGGGCTCTGTGCTGACGGCTCAGAGCCTGGAGCCTGCTTCGGATCCTGTGTCTCCCTCTCTCTCTCTCAAAAAATGAATCAACAAACATTAACAAAAAGACTCATCTGAATCTGAACTAACAACAGTTCATTTGCAACAATCAGCAATCCACAGTGAAAAATAAATGAGAACTATAGTATTAATCATAACGTACATAAGGATATCAGTTTCTTCTTTTTACTTTTTGCCTCTGTCTCTCCAGCATCCTTTCCTTTTGGATGTTCCCCTTCCCTAAGTCCATGAAATCTGGGTAGGAAAGGCAATCACAGGGCCCCACTATTCCATGTAGGATGCCAGGCGATGGAGAAGGGAGAGATCCTTTCACCATGTCGATATTTGTCCAATCATCACGGTGTACCCTTTAACTATCCTACAGCTTTACTTGTCAACTATACCTCAGTAGATTTGGGGGGGGAAAAAGTCAGGGATGTGGCCAGAACTGCCCAGTCTCCTGGACACAATGACTGGTCAGTGAACTCCGCGGATGCTGAGTTGGATTTCTGACTTGCACCCCGGAGGCCTACCTACTATGGGCGTGGCTACCAGAAATGATTTCGAAAACTCAGGACTTAACAAGGAATCTTTTCTACTTTCTCCGCCACATTTTCATAAACTGTTTTTTGTTCACTTCATGAGACCCATTAGAACGAGTTAAAATTAAGACGGCTTCTTAAATGTGGCTACTTATCAATGTGCCACATAACCTTCCCTCTGCCTGTTATCTTTAAGGCGTTTCTCCTCTGACAGGAACACTTATTTCATATAAAATTGTTATCAGACAAAATATTCACGCAAAAGCTTTATTTTTTTTTATTTTTATTTTTTAATGTTTATTTATTTTTGGGACAGAGAGAGACAGAGCATGAACGGGGGAGGGTCAGAGAGAGAGGGAGACACAGAATCTGAAACAGGCTCCAGGCTCTGAGCAGGCAGCACAGAGCCTGACGCGGGGCTTGAACTCGCGGACCGCGAGATCGTGACCTGAGCTGAAGTCGGACGTTCAAACGACTGAGCCACCCAGGCGCCCAAAAGCATTTTTTTTTTTTAATGTTCAGTTTTGAGAGACAGAGAGAGAGAGAGAACATGCAAGTGGGGGAGGGACAGAAAGAGAGGGGGACAGAGGATCCGAAGCGGGCTCCGTGCTCAGAGCAGATAGCCCGACATGCGGCTCGGACTCACAAACCGCGAGATCACGACCTGAGCTGAAGTCGGACGCTTCACCGACTGAGCCACCCAGGCAGGCGTCCCGCAAAAGCGTTTTATAAAACAAGAGCGTGTTCTAAGGTTCGGGAAAATCATTTCTGTGACCCATTCCAAGTATGAACTTGCCTACACACAAGCTTTCTTCACGAGATGTCTGGAGCTAACCTGTCCGTCTTTTCTCAGGAACTAATAGGATACAAGACTTTCTGCCAATCTGACATGCAGTTCATTCTCAATTATGTGCCGTCTAGTAACAAATAAAATAGCATGTACTGTAACTAAACATTAGAAAAATCTAAAGGGCAATTATAGAAACTTCAAGACTAAGGTGCAAATATATTAATCAAGTAATTATGATTCAAGTTGCCTATGAAATAAGAAAGCCCAAAGCAGTAGTGACACTTAAACACTCTGGACTGCGTTCGGATACTGTATTTTACAACCCTGACAAATGTACCAACGGCATCCGAAAGGCTGTACTATCACTACTTTAAACACTTACTATGCCTAACTTATTGTTATTATTTCCTAAACGCAGATGCGTCAAGTTTTAAAAACACCTTATTCACCCCTTCTTGGGAAGTCAACTGAGGATATGAAGGGAGTAAACCAAGAAAGCAAAAAGATAATGGAATCAGGAAGGAGGATCCAAAACTGAAGCAAAGCGAGTGACTTTCCCAAGATAATGAGAGGCAAAGGATCCAAACTGGTGCAAAGGTTTCGGAAATCCAAGAATAGCTCCGGGGAAAACAAAGCATCAGACTACCTGACATCTTCAGTCAAGGAAAATTACACTGAGAAGCATCATAGTCCTGTCAAAAGTGGAAGACGACTTTATCAAGAGACCCCAAGAAAATTAAACAAAAGTGAGGCAATTATTAACTCCAGAATAATTAAAGAAAATTAAAACCAAACACCAGATCCACAATAAAGTGTCCCTTTGTCCTCTGTATTTACATTTCCTCTGGGGATTTTCTAGTATATATGGTTGGGGCGTGGAAGACTGACTTTTCATTGTGTACCTCGTTTAATATAGTCTGAAATTTTTATTACAAGTAAACAAGAATTTCCGAGAATAAATACGTATCTAACCGAACGAGTTACACAGAAATCTCTTAATATGTCCTGAGAGACGACATAGTAACAAGTTACATTTTTTAAAAGTTTATTTCTCTATGCATCCATAGGTATTTTTCAACACTGTTCCTCATCACTGATTACATCAGAAGCCTATAAAATTTTAAAGTACTACAATTATATTCTGAATTTGTTTTTTAGAAATTAACTTTAATTGTTTTTTTAAATTTTTTTTAATTTATTTTTTTTTTTAAACTTACATCCAAATTAGTTAGCATATAGTGCAACAATGATTTCAGGAGTAGATTCCTTAATGCCCCTTCCCCATTTAGCCCATCCCCCCCCCACAACCCCTCCAGTAGCCCTCTGAATGTTTTAAGAGCAAGGCCCTGTAGGTCACAGATTCATATTAAAGTATTTACAGGGGCACCTGGGTGGCTCAGTCCATTAAGTGTCTGGGACTCCTGATTTAGGTTCAGGTCATGACCTCACCATCTGTGAAGTCAAGCCTGGCGTCTGGCTCCACACTGACAGCACGGAGCCCGCTTAGGATTCTCTCTCCCTCTCTCTCTACCCACCCCCCCCCCCCCCCCCGCCCCAGTAAATACACTTTAAAATATTTACAGATAACATGCTATGATATTTAGGTGCGCATCACAAGAGTGACTGAAGGCACAGGTACGTGGGGCTCTGGGTGAGAGAGGTGTTGCTGACTACCAACGCTGAGTAATGGGTACGTGGAGGATGGCTCACCAGATTATTCTACTTTTTCTTATATTTGACATTTTCCATAATAAAAAAATGAAAAAAACTACTGAAAATTTCTATCGCTCTCTAAGAGGTGAAACGCAACACCACAAAGATGACCTATCGTGGCGGGCTGAGGGAAGTTCAGAAAGACGTATGCCTTTGCAGGGTTATCTGGCCCCATTAAAAAAAAAACACCGGAAAATCCATAAATAGGGATAAGTGAGAACACAGTTAACACTCACCAAACGTTTTGAGTCTTCGTTCTGTTTGTAGAAAAACAGAAGCCGCCTCACCAAAAGGGTAAGGTTGGGACCACTGGCAATGGAGAAAGTGCCACCGGACTGCGAGGCGCTGGCGTAGCGGTCAAAGGCGCTTCTCTGGATGGAGTGCTGGAGACGAGAGAAACAACACACACGGGCGTGACGGGCGTGACGGGCGGGCAGTGCGGTCCACATGCGCCCTGGGGTCTGCACGGCGGGGGCGCGGTGAGGGGGCCATGATGGGGCAGCTCTTGGGAAAAGGGGAAATGAAACCCAGAAAACCTGGATTGGAATAAAAACCCTCCACTCCCCTAAAATGGTCTTCCGCCGCCTCCTTCCGCTTTGATCTTGAGCTGCAGCCCGTGTTTCTATTTTTATTATTTAAAAATCACCTCAAAACTCCCCTATCTGTAAATCTTTACGTAAATATAAACGAATACGGTTAATTTCTGGGGGAAACGCTATTATCAACATTAACTGTCATGAAACAGGTGTACTAAAATCCCCACAAAACGATTCCACTTCTAAGACTCCGAGGCCCTATCTGAAACAAACTCTGGCAGGCCTTTCCAATTCTTTCTCAGCTTGAAAGCAAACTTACTTGCTGTTTCCGGTCTCGATAGCCTCGGATAAATGACTGTATGATTATTGCATTTTTCAACCTTCGCCTTTCCTCCTGCATGATGAAGGGAGGAAGGAACAATTGGTCGGAGTGAATTGACATTTAGCTAGTAAAGACTTAAAAAAAAAAAACAACTACAGAATTTACATACCACAAAATTCAATCTTTCAAGCGTACCACTTACCAGGCTTTAATATCTTCAAGGTTCAACTACCACCACCATCTAATTTGAGAATACTTTCATCAGCCACTCCACACCCCGTTCCCATTAGCACTCGTCTCTCGTTCCCTCTCCCGGGTCCCCCCACATCCGCGGCAACCACTGACCGAATTTCCGTCTGCACGGGATTGCCTATTCCGGACATTTCTTATCGTGGAGGCAGATAACGCGCGGCCTTTTGTGTCAGGCCTAGTTCACCTGGCACGACGTTTTCAAAGCTGAGCCGTGTCGTGTCACGTGTCGGTACGCCACTACTTTTTACGGCCAGTACGTACGGTATTTCCTTGTGCGGCCGTCCCACGGTTTACCATTTACCGCCCGATAGACACTCGGGCGGTTCCCACTCTGGGCTGCTGCGAACATCGCTGCCGCACACACTCATGTCCAAGTTTCGCGTGGACACGGTTACGTTTCTCTTGGGTGCACGCCCACGAGCAGGACTGGCACGTGAGGAGCTACCGGACTGTTTGCCAAAATGGCGACACCACCTTCCACTCCTCCCAGCACAGTGAGACTTCCAACAACAACTGCGGTTTTCAATACAGGAAGGAAAACGGACGACACGAACATCAATTTTAAAAGTCACTTTCTCATTTCAAAGCGGAAACTCTAGTTTTGACTGACCTAAGACTGTCTTGAAAATTTCCAGTGACCTAGCAAAACAAATTTTTTTTTCACATCATCATCGCAAGCAACGTAGCCACCACCGCTTGAAAGTCTACGACGCGCCAACCCCAAGACGCCTGACAACCTTAGAGGAACGTCACTCCCAGTTTCATGATGCAGAAGCTGAAATTTCCATAAAGACACCGGTGTCGAAAGACCTAAGGGAGTCAGGATTCACACTCAGGCGTGACACTAAAAGTTGTGCCCATCTTACCACGTGACACTGTCTCATGCTATGCCACCTGGCAGGTGAGTGCCACCTGCCAGGCCTGAAAGGCACACACACACTCACCCAGAAGACCAATCAGGTTGCGCAAGCGTGCTTTCTGAGCTTCAAGTGGTTACAGCGAAGGAAGCCCTGAGCTTAAACCTAGTTTGGGACTCTATTCACTACTACGATGATTCTAAGAGCACCTAATTAAAGACCCATATACTGTCCCAGGAGTTTTCTAACTATTTTTATGCATTCGGTTGTTCACCGAGGAGGAAGTCCCGGTGACATCCCAGCGTCCTGGCTGGGACGGGACCTAACGGCTGCATCACAGCTGGACTGGAAACAGACGGATCCTGACAAGGACTGAAGACCAGCTGTAGATCAGCTCGACTCTGTATTATTTAAAGGCGACCCATCCCTCTCCCTACTGCCAGCCAAAATCAAATGCAATGCTTTCCAGAAAGAAGAGATCATCATCGAGAGCCTGCAGATCTCTCTTCATTTTGGAATACAGAATGTCAGTATTCAACCAAAACAATCGGGCAAAAGACAAGAACTAAAAATCAAGAGGACAAACAACAAACCCACAGGTGATCCAAATACTGGAGCTTAAAAACTATCTTTAATAATCTACAGTTATATTCACGAAATTAAAAGACAATTAAAATTAAAATGTTCATAAAATTAAAAGAATCAAAGAAAATTCTACAACTAAAATAAAACTCTGATCCACAGGTTAATGGATATTATGTGACAATCAGACACTGGTAAAGAGATAATCTGTAAATTAGAAGTTAGGTCAGAAGAAATACCCAAACCAAAGCCGAAATATTCAAAAGGATAAATATACAGAAGAGTACGGGATAAGGCCAAGGTCAAATACATAAGTAATCTGAGTCCAAGAAGAGGAGAGGAAGAATGGAGCTAAAACACTATTGGAAGAGATGAGAGCTGAGAGTTTTCCAGAAAAGATAAAAGACATTAACCAATAAATGGTCATTTTCAACTGTGAGCAATTTTACCACATTTGGTAACTTCTGGAGACATTTTTGGTTATCTCAACCAGAGGGAGGGAGTGTTGTGGCATCTAGTGGGTAGAACAGAGGCCCTGGAGGCTGCTACACACCCCTCGATGTACAGGATAAAGCCCCACAACAAAGAATTAATGAGTCCAAGATGTCAACAGTGCTGAGGGTGAGAAACCCCGCCTGAAAGTCTCCATATTTGCTGCTTCCTGCACCAAGAAAGTTCTTCCTCCAGCTTTCCGTAGGAGCTTCTTTTTCCTCCTTCAGGAATCCTGCTCAACTCTCTACCCAGCTCGGAGAGTCCTTCCCGGAATGCCCTACCCGAAAGCAGGCCTTCCCAGTTATTGTCACCTCACTCTACCTCACTCACAGCACTTAGCACCGTCTCAATAGCTTGGTGAATCTCTGTGTTCTATAACCACACAAGAACATTATCCGCCCTTTTTAAGCTTTTTTTTTTTTTTTTTGAGAGAGAGAAGAAAGTGTGCAAGTGCATGATGAGCGGGGGAGGGACAGAGAATCCCAAGCGCCCAGAACATGGTCTTATTTACTATCTGTGTCCCCTGTAGGCAGAGCAGTCCCTGGAATGTAACAAGCTCTCAATTAGTATTTCTTAAAGGAACAAATGAATTATTAGAAAACAAAATAAAAATCTAGAAAAATAGGCCTAAAATACCATAATTGCCGATTAATCAATAAAATAAAGCCACTGTCACCAGAAAGATGAAATGTAAAATAAAGAATAAAACGGGCGCCTAGGTGGCTCAGCCAGTTAAGCATCTGACTCTTGGTGTCATGAGGTCATGACCTCGGGGGTCGTGGGACCGGGCCCCGTGTCGGGTTCTGTGCTGACAGCACGGAGGCTGCCTGGGATCATCCTCTCTCCCTCCCTCTGCCCCTCCTCCACATGTGCGCATGTGTGTGCACTCTCTCTCAAAATAAATAAACAGATATTTAAAAAGAGAAAGAATAAAACAACAAATGTCACAGCTCCTTTCATCTATTTTACTTGTTCACAAAGAGTTATGGTAACCGCCTTCAGAGTGAGTTTGCTTCTTCTGCTTGGCAAAAGATGAGCGTTATATACTAAGTCTTTCCAGATCTTCTGGAAACCATATCACAAGCAAGCAACTGAACTTTATAAAAGCCTGTTTTCCCCCTGTATTCTGGAAACTGCCCTTGTAGTCCATCTTTTCCACAGTGGTTCCAGAATAAATTACTTATTACAAAATCCAAAAAATCCAGAAATGTTTCTAAAGTTTCATAGATGTAAAAATATGTATATATGCATATGCATACCATGCATATATATAACAGCAAAATCAACCCTTATTTAAATGCTATGGAAAAATGTTTATCTAAAGAGACTATTATGAAACTGTTTTTACCTCTCTCTTTCTTCTTTCTTCCTGAGTACGATGTAAAAGAGAAGCCTTTTCTTCCTAAACACAAAAAGAGAAAAGAGAAAGAAGGTTGTAATTTCAAATTCTAAAATGCTCTCATACAAAAATTATAGAATGTTTTGACCCAAAAGGGATTCTAAGCATCATACAAACATTCTGACTTAATGAGAAATCTGAGCACACGAGGTTATATGGTTCCCTCCTGCCAGATGACAGATCTAATTAAAGTTAGTATTTTAACTAACAGTAGTTTTCCAGGAATAAACTCTGATTTCTTTACACACACAAGAGACTTCACGTGAAACCAGAAATATCTGAATAATGTCAATGCATTGTATCAATGTCAATATCCTGGTTGTGATTATCACACTAGTTTTGCAAAATACAACTCCCAGGGGAAATCAGGCAATGCAAACAAGAGAGCTTTCTGTATTATTCCTAACAGCTGAACATGAATGTACAATTATCTCAATAAAAATTTTGATAAAACAATTTCTGTACTGTTACTGAATGTTAAAAAAAATCTTTTTTCATCATAAGTAAAACTAAATTTTGAACAAAATTACTCGGTATGTAGAAGGAACCAAAGCAATCGATGGGAAAGTTAAACATTCCTAATAAAATACAAATACATAAAGACCACTCTCCTCTCCCCCGAAGTGTTCCAGTTTACAGTGAATGGGCATTTTATTTTTACAAATGTAATTCAAACTAAAACTAACAGTCCAAGACATTATATATGAATCATTACAAAAATAAATACATTTCTTAACAAAAACAAACACACCATCAAAATAGTGTCAGAAGGCAAGTAATTAAGCCAATTAAAAATTTTTTTTAATGTTTTTATTTATTTTTGAGACAGAGAGAGACAGAGCATGAGCAGGGGAGGGGCAGAGAGAGAGG